CCCCCGGCCGCCAAGGAGAGAAACACCGCTGTTTCTTTTTTTTTTTATTAGTCTGACACGGAGCCGTGTCAGAATAGAATTTTTTTTTTGCCTATTGGAATGCATTGCTAGATTCCTATTGGCTACTTCAATTTGTAATAGCCAATAGTAAACTAGCATTGTACCCGCCCTCTGCTGCAGTTCTCCATCAGGTCCATCAAATATATATTTTTTGCCCATTGGAATGCATTGCTAGATTCCTATTGGCTATTTCAATTTGCAATAGCCAATAGACATGTGGCAAAAGATCAAATTGGGTGCAGGTTTGTCAGGAGGAAGCCCTCCTGACAAACCTGCACCCAATTTGATCTTTTGCCACATGTGCTCCAAGATGGAGACTCTCATAGTGACATAAGTTTTTTGCATGCTGGCTGGTGAGTGTGCTGGGAAAGTTTTTGCTATTACTGTTTATACAATTTCAATCACAATGATAAGTACCCTGCATCTCTAAAGGAACTGCCTTGTTTAGTGAAAAGGGGTCCCTTAATTACATAGTTACATAGTTAGTCAGGTTGAAATAAGACACAAGTCCATCGAGTTCAACCTATAGAGATACGGAGAAGAAAAAATGGTACTGCTATGGCACCTCATCACATATTGCTTTGGTCCTGAACTTGGCTATCCTCTCTAAAGGAGGTTATATGAAAGGATAGAATTTTCTATCTGACCCATTGTTTCTCTGAGATAAAAGCAGTAGTTACATTGTCTAGCAGTTATATAACTTGTATGAACATAAGATAGGTCTATGCATACATATGCATAGACATATGCTAAAGAAAGAATGTCATGCCATTTACTAAAATCTATATGATGTCTAAAATACATGGAAAAATGTAGTGCTCAACTTACTGTCTAGGAGTCTTACTGTCTAGGAGTCTGTGCTTTTTTTTCAAATTTTTTTCTTTACATTTTCCAACTGTGAAAGGTGACTGTGCATTTGATGTATATTTTATCATTTATCTTTGGTATGGTATTTAATTTATAGATGTTTCTAATTATGTCCAGCATGATCATAACGTCTGCAAGATGAACTCAAGTTTAAATGCATTTTGTCTTTAATTTTAGCAAATTGAAAAATGAACTCCTGGAAGTCAAAAAGAAGGGGGCCAAAATTAGCAGGTTACGCCAGCACAATGCCAAAATCTGTGTTCGCTGTCAGAAGAAGCTAGGGTTCATCTTTGACCGTGGAAACTTATGCCAAGCCTGCCAATTTCGTGTGTGCAATACATGTCGCATTGTGGTGAAGGAAGGCATCTGGAGGTGCAAAGTGTGCGCCAAAATTGCGTAAGTTTGTAGGAAAATATTTTTGTATTTCATACATTGGCCGGATAACAGTTACTGTATCTCACATATACTTCTACAACCATCATTCACAATTTGAAATCTATTTCATCTACATATAGGGTATGTTAAACTAGTGTTAAAAATGGTATAACATAAAGCATAGAATAAGTGGATAAATAAGTTGTGATCTGAATGTACCATTCCTGCAATGTCTATTATTTTCAAATCCCAATTAATTAAATTATGCAGAGACTTGATAAGACATTCAGCCTTGTAAATAGCACCAAGCATGGTATTGGGTTTATCTTTCTATATACACATGTATTTGCTTTGATATGAATGCAGTGAATGTGATCAGATTGATATAAAAAAAATCTAACAAGTATGTTTGAAAAACCTTATTTGTATGTACAGTTTTTACCTACTTCAGCTTTCATATCTGTATACCCCTTATGGGCCAGAGCAATTTTAACATTTCCACTATGGGCCTGTTAATTTGGGGATAGCTTTATCATTGCTAAGATAGCAAAGTAATACATACATTGTTTGGTTTTTGTTTGTGCTGGGGGAAAGGGGGGACTAGACTTTCTTTTAGCAATATTAAATTGCAAAAATTATTATTTTATTTTGGAATGCTTAAAAGAATGAAAACATTTTGTTTGTTTTCTGTTTTGACCAGCGTTAGTTTTTACTGTAAATAAAAAGAATAGATTTTATTTTATAGTTTGCCCCATTTAAATGACACTAAAATTATATTTCTGAAACAAAGTTATTTGCAAATGAAAATTTTAAAAAATGTATTTAAATTTTTCAGATTTTTTTTTATATGCAACACTAAAAAAAATGGTTACAAACAAAATAAGTGAAAACGAAAAAAAAAAAAATGAATGGTAAAAAAATAGAAATAAAACAGCTGAAATATAATAGCCAAGGATAGGAAGCAAATAATGAGAGCTGATTATGGTTAACTAAGGTTTAAACATGGGTAAATTTGGAATACATGTTATTTGAAAAATTAACTTGTAAGGTTTCTTGAAGTGATCTCATAAGCAGATCAAAGGTCACACCTTTGATCTCCATATGAATGAAATAAAATACAATGACAAAATACATACGTATCGGGCAGCTCTCAGGAAGGACAGGTGCTGCGTGTAATTAGTACGCTGCCCCTGTCCTTCTCTATGGGAGTATGCGGCCATACGTCACCCTACGCTCACCCCAAGTACAGGTCCGTAAGGGTGCGGGTGTCCTGGCTCGGACGCAGACAGGACGCAGGCGCGGGTGAGCGTAGGGCAGCGTATGGCTGCGTTCTCCTATAGAGAAGGACAGGGCTGCTAATAATCACACGCAGCACCTGTCCTTCCCGGGAGCTGCCCGATACGGCTGTGCACGCAGCACGGAGCTGTGAATGATGCCTAAAATGTCACTTCCAGACCAATATGAGACACCTTATGTAAACAGAGCTGTTATATAATGCTCTAACTTGGATTTCAGAATCAAGATGAATGTATGCCATGTTTTGTCATGTTATGTAGGCTGCTGATAAAGCATTTATGTTATACAGTTGCACCAGACAATTGTTCCTTTTTCAGAACAGAGTCGGATTTGTGCTCACAGATAAAATTGAACAAAATTTCACATTCTGCTTAGATAGCATGTCAAACTGAGCAAGCCTGACAGAAACTGAATATGTATGCCCTAAAATTTCCATTGACTGTTTGTTTCAACCTTCTAGAGAATTAAAGGAGATTAAACGATTTACTTTCCACTGTTTTGTGCTTGTCTGCATGTCCCATTAATTCAAATGGACAGGGACAGACAGGTCATCTGGGAGCTTACAGGGCCTCAGAGTAATGAAGGCCTTGAAAGTGCCATTGCAGCTACTGGCTTTCCTATTACTGACTTACCATGCCTTGTTATGCACCATGTCTTTGTGTGGAAGCCGTAACCTTCATAGAGGTAGGGTTTTGTTTCCCCATGTCAGAGCCCCCAGAAAGAGTAACAGTGAGCAGTGCAGTAGTGACATCACTAAATCTTAATCTAAACCGTGTAGCCTAGCAGTTAGTGGCATCAGCGCCTTAGTTCTCACGCTGCAGATATACAGCTATGAGGCTGTAGCTACAGGAGTGCTTAGGTGCACTCACATTCCAGAAACTGCACTGCTATTTTTCAGGAGGAATTTAAGACAAAATGTAAAATTTTCAAGGTGTTGCTTAGCTACAGGCATCATTTCTATATGTCTCCTATAACAGCAAATCTTTATTTTGCAGATTAGGTCCACGTGAAAAAAAAGAAGATTAAATGTGCCTTTAGCTTCCAGCAAGGTGCCTGCAATACATAAATATATTATTATACTCCTAGTGGAATATTATATCCGTTTTTTTAATAAAATAGTGTATTTTTAATATAAGGTACATGTTTGGAAGCAAATGTGTAAATGTTTTAGAGAGGCCACCAAGCCTTTTCAATGTTTTTGGAAGGCAAGTGTAATTGATTGCTTAAAAAACATATTTTTGCGTACAGTTTGTAATCATACACGTACATGACGACAGCTATTTGATCATTACCTGTACCTGTTGGTTCTTGTTTTCATACTGATAAGGTCTGCCTATTGAAAATAATTTAATCTCTAATGATGTAAAACATTTGCAATCCACCTAGAGCCAAGGACCATATGATTTTTACCTAGGCTGTAAGTGACATTGTGGAACTTAGCGCAGGGTTATTCTTCAGGTCATTTTTACCTAAAAGATAGTGGCCAATAGGGCACATATCAAATAATACTGATATTGTGTGCCTTTAATTCATACAATAATGTAATATTTAATGATAAGACCAAACCATGTTATTACACAATATTCATGTGTGCGCAAGTGTTCAATTACTTTTATAATAAATATTGTTTTCGCTTGTTACCTGGACTTGCTCTTTAAATGCCTATAATTCTGCAGGTTCACTTATTCTTTTTATGTTTGGCTCAGTAACAGTTGTGGTACCATTTTGTTGCCTTTCTGCAATGTAAGACTTATTTTAGTGACACTAGTAAACATCCAGACAAGTGGCACTTATTTGACCTGGTATCACTGGTTAAACTATTTTACTATGGATAGCTTAATCCACATTTGGGCTAATGTAAAAAAATATATATTTTATTAATCATGGAAACAATTTCAAGCAATAATTAAAAAAAAAAGTAAAACAACCTTCATTTGTGAAAATACTTAAACCATTTTGAAACAGGAATGAGAAAAAAAAAGTATAAACAAAACTACAAGTATGAAATAAATGTGAGCATGTGATATTTTCTTTCTCTACAGGCAGATAAGGATAGCAACGGGGGACTGGTTTTTTGAAGAACGATCCAAGCGTTTCAAAGGTTCCACTGTGCTAGGAACCGAAGTGGTCAGGAAATCTATTATGAGAAAGTCTACAGGTATTTCTACATTTAAATATTGTACATTGAGTGGGAGTTTAGGACAGGGGAGCTGTTTCTGGATGCTGGTCACATTTTTAATACTTTGCACAGTTAAAGAAGAACTCCAGGGAAAATTATTATTAGCCCTTGCAATGGGGATATACCCGAACTACAAGGGTTAACTGCTCATTTTGGTCTAGGGAAGAATAAAAAAGTTATACTTACCTGATCCTCACAGCCAGCTTACTCTTAGAGCAGTCTTTCCAGTCTCGCCAACCACTCAAATTTCAGCTGGCCATAGTAAGGCGTGTTAAAAGAACTTTATTGGTTGGTGGCTGTGAAATCATGCACTTTACATCATGCTCTCTGTGCTGAGCTTTTAAATAGGATTGGCAGTCTCAAAATGTTTTCCACACCATGGTGCCAGACTTGACACAGTTACAAGCTCAGTCCAGGCAGTAGTTAAGGTCTGGAGAAACACTTTTGTCCAGGCTAGGCTCCTAAACCAAAACTCTGATTACTCTTGGTGTGTCCGCAACAATAAATCATCAGTGTCTAAGTCAAATATAAATTTAATACTGGCAGTTTCATTTTCCGTGCTGCTGTTCTTCAGATGCCAAATTAGTTATAATTATATAGGATTTTAGACAGTGAATAACAATGCAAGCCGTCACAGAATGCACTGGTGTCTTTTCAGATTAGGGAGCTTAGATTGGTGACTCACACTTTTCTATATCAAATGGCCAGCAGCAGTTACCACTATGAAAGAATTGCTGTCAGAATTATTACATTATTTGCCAAAGCACTGACCTTTCAGCTTCTCACTGCCTAGACGATTATCAAACAATGCTTAGTCATACATTGAAACTGATTTATTGTCTTTTTTTGTTCAGCACCCACTAGGATAGAGGAAGAATCTGAAGAGATTGGAAAGGATCTAAAAGAAAATTCTGCACCTGCAACTTCTGAAGCAGTAGAGGGCTATGCAAAACGGTAAGAGCGTCAGTTAACTAGGAGTTCTAGGAAAACGGGAGATCCCCTGCCATTAATTGGTATAACGTGTATAATTACAAGAATTACAACAGTTTTGTAATTTGATGAAAATTGCCTTTCTGTTGCAACATACAACCAGCTGATTTGACCCTTACCGAACACTGTACAAATGTCAGGTCTAAATGTGCTGAATGGCTTACAGAAGGGAGGTAATTTCAGAAAACTTCCTAACATTGCTTCCTTTTAAAAACAAGAGCTGGATCACGCAAAAGATGACCTGGGTGGGTGCCTAGGGCCCAGTGTTTCTGTATTCTGCAGATGTGATTGCAGAGCTCCTCTGTGACCTCCCAAATAGGGGCATAGATGATAATAAAGCTTGACAGGCTCTGACCCTTTCTTACTCTATCCAAAACCAAATTAAACATTTTGGCTGGAGCTGGGCTTTAATGTGGTATATTAAATGTTTGTTACAGCTATATAAATTTTACACATACATTTTTTGTAATCATCTATGTTGTCATCATGTAAGTATATAGACAGTTTTTTTTAATATAGCATAGGCG